TGCCAGGGAACCTGCACTCGCTGAACCTTTTCTCAAAGCTGGCACCTACTTTGTGATCACTTTCTGGGGAAAGTAGTTTCTGTAGCCACCTAACTATTAATGGTTTCCCTGTCTCTATCATCTTTCTTCTCCAACTTGTCCATCCTTTTGCTTCTAGTTATTTTATTAAAATAAAGGTTGGATTCTGCCGTTCCTCCCCTCAAGAATCATCAGTGACTCCCTATGGAATGAAGTTGAGGTTCTGTGTCAACACGTCCCAATGCCTCCCCCCATCCCCCACATCCTCCTGCTGCTGCCTTCCTCGCTCACTGACAGCAACGCCAGATGGTCTGCGCCTCCCATCGTGCGCTTGTGGTGGTTCTCTGCTCTGCTCCTGTGGTTGCCCCAGCCTGTCTCCCTTCTTCCATGGAAATCCCTGTTGTTCTTCCCCCATAAAGTCTTCCCCAGTCCCTCTTGTCATAATCATTCTTCCTCCGGGCACTCTTAGAGGCAGGTGGCACCCTAATGTCACTTGCACTTCATTCTTACTGTGATTAACTTGTTCGTGTCTCTCTTTACTGATAGCAAGGCCTATCTAATTTGTCTTTGCATCTGGACAGCATGTTGCATTTGTAATCTATGCACTTACAAAAGCATGAACTAAGAAAGGAGTTGCGTGAATGAAAATTAGGATAATAACAATAGATTCCATTTATTTTACCCTTTCTACGTGCTGGGTGCGAGGCTAAGCGTTATAAAACGGTGTCCTTATGACAGCACTATGTGGTAGGTATTATTACTGCCTCTCTTATACAGTTGAGAAAACTGGGCCTGAAAGGGATTGTAAAATCTGCCTGAGGCCACATAGGTAGTGAGTATGGGGGCTGGATAGGATGGATTGGAGGCCAGGCTGTCTGTTTTGGCTCCTGCCGTGGAATCTCATGTGAACAGCCTTGCCCTCTGCTAAGCATTCAGATAAAACCTCGGAGAAACAAGAATGACCCACTCCAGGCATCTTGGCGCATAGAGACAGAAAAGAGAGAAGAGTGTCCTGTGCTAGGGGTTGTTTGATGGTGCCCCACCCACCCCAGCTATGCTCATCTTCTGGGCCCGAGGGCAACTCACAGTGTCACAGTCATGAAGTCACAGTCTTGCAGGCGATTGCCCTGACTGCAAAGCACGACAGTCCACAGTACCAGATCCAAAGTGGGGGCTGGTTTACCAGTATCTCAGGGAGCCTCCCAAAGTGTACAGGTAGTGATTTTAGAGCCAGGCGTTCCGGGTTCAAATCTCGGCTCTGCTTGTTACTAGCTGCTTGGCCTTGGACCAATAATTTAATATAGTTTAAAGCTTAATTTCCTTACCTGCAAAACAAGGATAAGATGGTGCCTGCCTTATGCTTTTATGAGAATCAAGTAATATAATACATGTGAAGTGCTTAGCAAAGCCTGGCACACAGTAATGCTTTATTGCTATTGTCACCTTGGGCATTGCAAATGTCTCAATAAACCCTCAGAACACCACCAATACTAATGCAGTCCCATGGCAATCACACAGTATGGTTACCACAAATAAATGGATCCAAGAAAGCCTCTATTGTGATGAGTAAAATTTGGGGGAGAGTAAATGTGAGTTTAATATGGGCCAGGTGGTTTCACACTGCGTGTGTGATTGCGTGGGCCCTGCCAGGAAGCTGAGATCCTGGGCAGTCTCCGTATCAGGAATAGCCTTTCCTGTGGTTTCCTTTTACCGGGTTTGGGGCTAATGCTGCATTTGCTGTGTCATAATTCCACGCCACCCAACAGAGGGACTCCTCCCCTTGCCCTGCCCAGCCCGTGGCCACAGCACCAGGCACTAGGAGCCACATGAGAATGGCCCCAGTGGCCCCATCTGAGCATCTGCTCCAGGCCAAGACACGCAGGGGTTTGGGCTTGGGTTCTGGGGTCAGGCTGACTAACTCTGAATCTTCATTCTGCCGTTCACTAGCAGCATGGTCTTAGCCAGATTGCTTCCCCTCCGGGCCTCAGTCTCCTCATCACTAAAATGGACATTATTAATAGCGCTGAGAAGAGTATCTGATGCAGCGTAAGGGCTCAGTGAATGTTGGCTGTTACAATTAATTTACAGTCTCTGCAGTTCTCAGAACAACGTAAGGATGGGTATTCTTATCTCCAGATCAGGAGTCAGAGGCTCAGCGAAATTACAAAACTGTTCTAAGTTCATACAGTGCTTAGGGGGAAAAGCCAGAATTCCAGCCCAAGCCTAAAGGACCCCAAAGTCCAGGGTCTTCTCACCAAGCCGCCCTGTGTAATAAAGAGCTAGAGATCAGAAGGACAATCTTGTATGAGACTGAGGACAATTCAGGGCGGCGTAACATTTCCTGGTAAGTGTCCCTGCACCTGGGATCATGACCAGGCACTGGGAGAGTTCAGAGAAGGGTGTGCTCAGGGTGAGCTGAGAGTTGCATGGGGCTGTGTGCCGGAGGTGGGACCGAATGGGGCTTTGAAGGACTAGCAGGATCAGGCGAGAGGATGAAGACGAAGAAGGGCATCCTTCTCCCTCAGCTCAGATAGGACCTCACAAGGCAGCCCCCGAAGCAGGGCTCAGAGGCGGATGTGCACAGAATGAACACCCTGCTCTGGAAAAGGACAGGAGACTACACTGAGTGCAAAGCCAGACCTGCTGCCGGCAAGGGGGACTCCAGCCACAGTGGACACTGGGGGCCCCGGTGACAAGCTGAGATGGGGAGCCACGGGGGATGGTGTGAGCAAAGCGATGAGGGCGCCGGGGTGAATCCAGCCTTTCAGTTCTGGGTCAGCAGGGACCCGGGGCAGATGCTTGTGGCATCTCAGTGCATCGGACACAGCCTCAGCTGTGGCCTGGATCCTGCTCTGCAGGCCACGCTCTCTGGGTCCCGCCCTTCACTCCCCTCACAGAGCTGGTGGTGGCACGCTGGGAGCACGTGGGGAGACCTCAGTGAGACACGGAAGGAAGGAGAGAAGGAAGGTGGGCCAGCTGCAGTGGTGAGGACAGGCGCAGGGAAGGAACAGAAAGCAGAACCACGGAGGCTGCGGGGGCGGCAGAGTGTGGCCGATCCCACCCGTACGGCCCCGAGAGGAGAAAGAGATGTGATTTAGTGCGGGGAGCTGAGGACAAGGCCCAGATTCAGGCTGGCTGCGAGGGCTGTTTTGAGTCCAGATACTTCACATCTTGGCAGCTCCCTTTGCCTGTGTATTTGTTCACCATGTCGCAGGGTTACTAGCAGAGGGGTGGGTGTACAGTCACAGGGGACAAGGCCCTGGCGCAGCCATCACTGGCCGTGACCAGGTGATGGCACACACTTTGCCTCTCTGGTTATCCCTAACATGAGGAGCTTGGATTGGGCAATCTTTCAGGACTTTTCCAAGTTTCATTCCACTATTCTGAGTTCCATGTGGCAGGACCTATGTCGATACAGCTCTCCCACATGAGCTTTGCCAGCGTCACCGGGAGAGTGTGAACCAGGAGACAGAAAACCAGACAGATGCTGGCTCCACTAAGGACACAGGGCAGGGGCAAAACAGTGTTGCCTCTCACTTCTCCAGGGGACCAGGAGTCGTTATGCGTACCCCGTGCTTCTAAGGTGGGCTTTTACCCAAGAGTCCCTGTTCAAGTGCCTTCTCTGCCCTGGAGTCTTTTTCATCTGAGTGAGTTCGGTTTCTTCCCCCTGTAATTATTCTGATCTCCTCCCTCTAAGACATCAGTGGCCACAGGAGAAGTAGAAGGTGGACCTACCGGGGATGTCACAGCAGCCCTTGGATATCGGGCCCAAGAATCCAAGGAACAAGGTTTTGTTCAGTTCTGGTTCCTCAGAGCTTTTTGGGGGAGCCAGTGGGGCTCCTGCAGTGACCCCAGCAGACTCTGGGGCACCACGACTGGTCTCCCCTTGCCCTCCGTCTGCAGCCAGACCTCAGAATTCAAAAATACAGGAGGCTGTTCAAGTGCGCAAGCTCAGGAACTGGGAAGCAGGTTCTGGTGTGAATGTCAGGGGCTCTGGTGCTTTCAGAATGATAAGAAATGCCCGAGAAAGTATAAACTTTACACTTCACTGAGAAAGTGTAAACATCTCAGCCTGGGTCGAGGAGAGGACTGGGAGAATGGGAGCCTGGGCTGGGTTTACTGGGTGCAGTCACCCTGGAGAGGTTACTTAATGTCCCTGAGATGCCTTTTCCTCCTCTGAAAAACTGGAATAGTAATTTCTATTAATGTATAATGGTGCTAATGGGAAGATTAAATGAGGTATGTCTGTAAAGAGTTTAGCATATTGTCCAGAACGGAATAAATACCCAACAGGTTTTAGATATCTTCCTTTCCCACAGCAATGCCAGCTGCTTGAACATATTCCTCTCGGTGACCATTTGGTCCCTGTGGGCAGTGTTCCTTCCTCAGAGCACAGGCAGGGTGGCTGGGTCTGAACTGAAGGTAGCAGGCTCCGCACCAGCCAGATCTGCATCCCTGGAGGGGCCAGGCTCCATTCTTTGTGCAATTCAAGCTTTGTCCTTCTGCACTCTAGGGCAGGGCCTATGGTGACTCTTCCACTACTGACCTTTGGGCAGAGGATGGCCCTTTCCATCCTCTGCCCTCTGAAGGTCAGCCTTATCAAGGTCAACAAGATCTTGGCTTACAGGGTTTGGAGGAGCCATTTGCTCCCAGGACTGGAAAGAGGACACAAATCCAGTCTCTGGGGGAAATGGGTGGGTCTATTTCAGGATCCTTGAGTGGACCAAGTCTCCACAGGCCTCCAGAGAGCACTTGACTGGCCTCCCAGACTCAGGTTTCCGTGCACTGGGGTCCCTGAGGTCCTCAAAGACTCCCTGGATTCAGAAGGAGCCCTCAGGGCTAATTTCTGAAGCCCTGGGCACACAGCTGTGCAGGGACCTGGAGGCTCAGGGGAAGCA